ACAGTCTGTGTGGCGAAGAAAAAATGTCGGAAGAAAAATTGTCGAAAACTCCAGTTTGGACATTGGTGTGGCTGGAGCCGCAAGCCATAAGCTAAACTGGCTGATGCTGTCAGGATAACTACGGGCTGGCTGATGCTGTCAGGATAACTGAAGAAGACACTTTGTGTCCCGCATAGGTTTTTTTCTGGTGGTGTTTCTTTTTTTTTTTCTTTTTTTTTTGTTTTGGAAAATACCTTCAATTCATATTGCGAAATTGGTGGTGGTGTTTCTTTTTTTTTTCTTTTTTTTAAAGGCTAATTCTTTAAGCCCAACCAATTCAATTACCTGTCAAATCTGGACAGGACGGCCTTTCAGGCCTTTTTTATTGTCATTATAGTATTACGGGGAACCCCGTAGCAGCCACATCCATGCTCAAGCCTCCAATGAGGGAGCTGTGTAGGATCCTCAGAGACTTTAGGTGGAGCTACTACTAGTTAATAATATAAAAGAAAGACCAACGACTTATGAGTATACGTACGATAGATACCTTTGTTTGTTTTGAGTGCCTTTCTGCGTCCTGTATTTTTTTTTTTTTTTTTTTTGGGGTAGTGGTGTTTCTTGGTCTGTGTCTGCTCCTTGCAGATTTCAGTGGCCTTTGTGCTTACGTATGAGAATTTCCCCTCTTGTCACTGCTGCTTGCAGATTTCAGTGGCCTTTGTGCTTACGTATGAGGATTTCCCCCCTTGTCAGGGCCGGAGCTGGCGTTGAGGGATGGGTGTGAAGACCGTGTATACAGGGACAGGGGTCGGCCGTTGATCTTTGCTATCTACGGTCAGTATCTCTTAAATCGTGCAAGTGGGACCTAGCCCCCAGTGGGGCGGGACAACCCGGGCTGAGGTCCCACTAGAAAAAAGGATAGGATAGAGCTCCTGAATCTGGATGTGTTTTAAGCAGAGATGCAGAAAAGCAGTTCAATCTCGATTTCCTGCACATCTCCCTAAACTCGTCCAGATTCGGGCATTCTATCCCATCCTCTTTGCAAGTGGGACCACACCCCCGCCTGTCCTTGTTATTGGCTACTGTGCTGATGTAATTTGCCTTCGGCACTGGGTCCTTCTAATAAGTAAAAATCTTTTTTTTTTTTTTCTCAGGGTTGAGGAACATCAGGGCAGAGGTCTGGTTTTGGTCATTTCTGTCCCTAGATCATAATCCCAACACCTGCGGTATCTCAGTGATCTTCCACCCTTAGGTGCTTATATTTCAGACTATGCTTCCGGGTTGTTTTGTTTGAGGGATTCCCGGCCTCATCTTCAGCTTTATAATGAAGCCCTCAGGGCCCCTTGCTATTTAATATATATAATATATATATATATATATATATCGTCAAATAGAACTGTATATCGTCACAAATAGATATATATATATATATATATATATATTTTTAAGGATGGCCAGAGTGTAGTATGATCCAGTATTTTTCAAGGTTGGCCAGAGTGTCGTATGATCCAGTAGGATAGCCGCTTTTTTTAAGGACGGCCAGAGTGTCGTATGATCCAGTAGGACAGCCGCTTTCGAATTATAAAAGCCGGAAAACGGGTCCGGCGCCCCTCAGATCATAGAAAAGGTTAGCCAAATTAGCTTAGCAAATTACTCAACTTTTTTTTTTTTTTTTTTTTTTTTTTAAACAAACAATTATAACCGGGAAATGGGCCCGGCGTCCCTTACATGAGTGCTGCAGCACACAGGGCTGAAAGAGGCACTCCTGGCCAATCTCATCCCCAGCCACAGTTATATCACCGCTTGGGACCCCTGCCCCCCGGCACAAAATAGTCTCCAATTCACCAATCCGTATTTTCCAAATTATCTACAGCAGAACATCTAAAAACCATCTGGAGAAAGACAGAACAGGACAGAGCAAGAAAGGTGTACCAAAACGACAGAAAGTCTAAAGGAACAAGCTACCGCAAAGGCACAAGCAATGTATACTACCACAAGGCCTATAGTTACTATCCTAAATTTAACTATAACACGATGCACAAGTCACAAAAATCACCACTCTTCCTATCAATTGTTCACAATGGCACATATATATTACAGTGTCACAGAAGAGATCACAAAAAGAAGTCCGGAAAGACCAAAGCCGGAAATCCCCCCCCTAGCAAGTCAACAACAAACAGTCCGTCAAAGGCTCCCCATTTGGAGCAAAACCATTTGACCGCTTTGGCTGTGTAACCTTTATTCTGCACACGGAGCTCCCAGTCTGCTGATATCACCAATTTGATATTGTATTTAACTTCAGCTCTGATCATAGGGGGGGTTGTCTGTTCCCCCCTACGGACTGCCATATTACGGCAATTCCAAAAAGTAGTAAGGATGGCAGCTCCAAGTGATAGTTTGATCTCTAGATTGTCTAGATGCTTTGTACTGCCGTATATGGGATCGGACCACAGACCTGTGTTCTTGGAATTCTTTCTTCGTACTTCTGTCAGGGCAGGTCATGATAGGAAATCGTTACCAGAGTGGGTGGTGCGCACTCAACAATTTACACAATTTTTGTACGAATTTTGGCCAAAATGGCGTACCTCCAAATACCTCTTTTCTTCAGAGGCAGACTGGTATATGGGAGGGCAACGTGTGGTGCTGCAGCAAGGACTGCTAATCAAACGAATGATATTAACCCTCAATCGCACTGACCTTGAACGAATTAATGAGGAGATGCAGGATCTTATGCATATGGCGTCGAGCTCTTGCGTTGATGAACGCACTTTTATGAATAGAATGGATTATCTGCAGCAACGCTGGACGTCCAGTTTTTCCGGATTTCGGGGGTGTTGCCATGCCCAGTCTCTCGGGTCCACTGGCAGGTGTGAACACTGAGTTTGCAAACAGAACGGTGGGTAGCTGTTGTTTTGTTCCATCACACACAGGCTGTAACTGTTCCAATGAAGGTAAGGGTATCTCTTCTTGTACACCCCAAAGATGTTCTCCGTATGAGAAGGCATCACCTTGAACCTCCCAGCAAGAGTAAGTCTATGGTGTTGTAGAGGCCAGTCACTGGAGCAGTAGGCCGCCCGTGTCCTCAACATTTGATGGGGAATATAATAAAACTCGACTGTAAAAAAAAAAAAAAAAAAAAAAAACTGGCACATGTGTGGCGGGAGATGTAGGGCAAGGCAGACCTCTCGAATTCAAAAAAAAAAAAAAAAAAAAAAAACCACCGTGACAGCGCCCTAGTTTTCCTTTTTTATTTTCTCAATTTTTCTTTATTTTTTTTTTCTCTTTTTTTATTTTATTTATTTTATTTATTTTATTTATTTTTTTATTTTTTTAAAAGGGCGACGGCCTTGAGATATTATCATTGAGCTGACCGGCCCGAAGCAATTCATTAGTAGTTGGTTTTACTCGTCAAGTTCCATTATCTGGATTCGAGCACAGCACCTGGTCTGTATTTCAACAGTTCATGGGTGTGGTCCCCACTGAGCTAGGCTCTTGGGTTTTTCTCAATTTTGACTTCGACTCCCAAGACGAGTGAGCAGACCCCCTGAGGCCAAGTCCCACTTCCAGCGTTGTGTGTCCGCAATGCCTGAATCTGGAAGTGTTTTGGGGAAACGTGGAGAAGTCGCCTTGAGTTTCTTCCACTGCACACCTCCACAAACACGTCCAGATTCAGGCGTTGTGGAAACTCAACGCTGCAGTGGTGGGACGTGCCCCCGGGGGTACTACTATTACCGACCTCTGCTCGCTGCCGGGAGTAATGGGGGACAGACCTTGGTCGCACGCTGTGCAGAGAAGCCAAGGCTCGTTTTTTTTTTTTTTTTTTTTTTTTTTTTAATAATAATTTGGACCGTTTCTCGATTTATGCGTGTCATCCTTGCGCAGCAGGGGCCATGCTAATCTCCTTTCTGTGTATCGCTCGAAGGGCAATCCTGAGCGTTGTCTCTGCTGTAGAGGACAGGTTTCTCAGTCTCACGCTGTCGCTGCCGAGGACAGGTGTCTTAGTCGCGCGCTGTCGCTCAGAAGGCAAGGCTCGCACTGATGAGCATTACCTCTGCTGTGGAGGACATGTGTCTTAGTCGCACGCTGTCGCACAGAAGGCAAGGCTCGGTCGCTGCGGAGCGTCGCAGCTGCTGTAGAGCACATGTTCCTTAGCAGCACGCTGTCGCACACAAGGCAAGGGTCGGTCGCTGGTGAGAGTCACAGCGGCTGTACCGGGGCTAGGTCCCACTTACACGAATTAAGCGATATTGACCGTAGATAGCAAAGATCAACGGCCAGAATATCTTAATCCGTGCAAGTGGGACCTAGCCCCCGGACAGGTACCTTGGTCGCACGCCGCTCCTGGACAGAAGGTAAGCCTCGGTCGCTGTCGAGCGTCACAGCTGCTGTAGAGGACAGGTTCCTTACTCGCACGCTGTCGCACACAAGGCAATCCTCGAATAACAGCTCTTCAGGCAGCGATCAGCCGGCCGTGGGAATCAAATAGCGGGCTCCCGCTGTTCGATCCGCACTGCAGATTTCACACCTACTCGGGCGGCGCTCGATGGGATGACACGGCGACAAGATAGATCCCACAATCATGGTCCGTGTTTCCGCATCCCCCGCTTGTCCCTCGGCGGGTTCTCCCAATTCTCCTCTTCCTCCTCCTTCCCTTCCTCCCTCTGCTCCTCCTCCCCGTCTCCTTCCTCCCTCTGCTCCCGCTCCTCCCCTTCCTCCCTGTGCTGCTCCTCCTCCCACTCCCGCTGCTTTCCCCAGTCCTCCATCCCATACTTGTCCGTCTCCCTCTTCCCACCATGCCCTTTCATCTTCTGATCCTTCCATTCTTCCTCCTCCTCCTCCTCCTCCTCCTCCTCCTCCTCCTTGTCCTACTCTACCTGCTGCCGCAGCTGCTTCTCTCGACGGAGGCCCGGCGCACCACTGGATCGAGCAAGCAATCCAGCGGCGGCCCAACACGAATCCTTATGGCGGCCTCGATCCCTGTGCCCCCCGTTTCGCGATCGGCGCTGAGAACCAGCCAGCTTCGAACATGCCTCCTCCCCTTTTTGGTCCCCCCTGTCCTGTCGATTTTGACCGTCCCAGGAGGTACTTGGACTCTTTCTGCGGCGAGGTTCGTCATCAACTGCGGCTCGCCTTTCCCATCATCCTGATGAATCTGTTATGGCAGGCTCGGTTCTCTGTCGCGACCGCCTTCCTGGGATCCCTGGGAACCGTCAAACTGGCTGGAGGCGCTCTGGCGATCGTGATTGCGAACCTGACCGGCTTCTGTCTGCAATCAGGCGCCTCGGTCGGGATCGAGATCGTTTGCGGCAAGGCGTACGGAGCAGGAAGACGCGAAGAACTTTCGTTGACGCTTCAGCGAGGATCGATCATCCTGGGCATGCTGAGCGTGCTGACCGCGGTTCTTTGGCTCGCGGCGCCGGGTATCCTTCTGGCGATGGGCCAAGAGCGCGAGGTCGCGGTGGAGGCGGGGAGATTTCTGATAATGCTCTTGCCGGATCTGGCAGTTTGCGCGGGAGTGAACGCCCTGGGGGCCTTCCTGCGCGCGCAGAGCATCATTCGGCCCATCGCCATCGCCACGGGGCTGGCGCTGGGGCTGCAGGTGGCCGCCACCTGGGTCCTGATTCACGTCCTGGAGGCGGGATCTGCAGGCGCGGCATTGGCACTCTTTCTGTCCGACTCACTCATCTTCCTCTCCCTCCTCTTCGTGATCAGCAGGCACTACAAGTCGAGATGGACGGGCATCTCCAGCAAGTGCTGGAGCAACCTTCGGCCTCTGCTGTCGCTGTCTCTTGCCTCCTGCTTCGCTATCGGTCTGGAGTGGTGGTGCTACGAGCTGGTGACGGTTCTCGCCGGTCTTCTTCCCGACAAGGCTGTCAGTGTGGCCTCCATGTCCATAGCTTCCAGCCTCTCCTTCCTCTACTACATGGTGCCGTTCAGTTTGATCGACACCGCCAGCATTCGGATCACGAACGAGCTCGGCGCGCAGCGTGCCCTGCATGCGAAGACGTCGGCCAAAGTCGGCGCCTTTCTTGCCGCCCTAGGAGGGGTGGTTGGCCTCTCGCTCATCCTCGGCCTGGGAAGGGTATGGGCGTCCCTCTTCAGCGACGATCCCTCCGTCATTCGGGATGTGGAGGCCATGGTGCTGTTCGTGGGACTGGCCGCCTTGGGAGAGGGGTCAGCCAGCATGGCTTCGCAAATAGCCAGGAGCACGGGATGGCAGTCCGTGCCTGCGGTGGTCATACCCATCACTTTCTACTGCCTGGGGCTCCCCCTGGGGGTCTGTCTGGCATTTCCTGCCCGTCAGGGAACCAAGGGTCTCTGGATGGGAGTGATCGCTGCGGAGTTCAGCACCTTGGCTGTCGTTGGGACGTTCGATCTGTTGGGCATTCGATGGGATGGATCTGCTGCAGCGGCAGCGGCAGCGGCAGCAGCAGAGAAAGGGGGTGCCAGCTCAGCGATTCAAATGGAGGGAGCGACGGAGAAGGGCCAGACGACGACAAAAGAGGAGAAGATCTTCGTGTAGGTAGCCCCCGGGGCGGCCGTGCTTTTTTTTGGGGGGGKGGGGGGGGGGGGGGGGGGGGGGGGAGGAGGGGAGTCCAGCCCCTCTAAACACACTGCGAAGAAGCCGACTAATGGCGGTTGCCAGACGGCACAACGAAACGAGTGCATCTTCCCGCACAAAATGGCCACGTTCATCGGTTTGCTATAAATAGTACCGACTGTATTTTGCCAACCTTTCGCTGGCAGATGCACTCGTTTCGTTTTCGTTTTCGTTTTCGTTTCGTGTGCCGTGTGGCGAGTCGCTAAGTGCATCGTCGCACCACTCTCGAAATGTGCAAAATGAAAATGAACCTTCCGCTAGAACATGGCCAGATGCACCCACCGCATTTTTTTTTTTTTTTCCCTCGTTACTTTCGAGAGTCGTCTGCCGACGCACGCCCTTATAGGCCGGCGAAGCCAGCCTGTTTTTTTTTTTTTTTTTTTTGTGAAGCCGGCGAAGCTTAGTTATAGGTAAGAGCGATCTTCTCTTCCTCGTTGCTGGCTTCTCATTGGGCATCGACACGCCAATCACTCTCGAAATGTGCAAAATTAGAATGAACTTCCCCCTAGAACATGGCCAGATGCACTCGACACATTTTTGTCTTCTTCACACTGCGAGGTATTAGGCCCTTCTCAGAACTCTTCGAGTCAGACGCTTGTCTGCAATGAGTGTAAAACAGTAAACGTAGCTGAAGCTCCCATTCTTTTTTTTTTTTTTTTTTTTTTTTTTTTTTTCTCCCATTCATTTTCTCACGCCTTTCTTTTCTGCTTCTTGTTTTTTTTTTTTTTTCCCCTAGGAGTAATGAGTTCATGACTTCGTGTTCTCGATTTATGTTGATGTACAGCTTAATGTGATGTACAGCTTTTTGTGAATTGTCTCCTTCGCGTGATTTGCCAGTACGCTGTGTGCTGCGTGAGTGCAGTCAATATATACTTCCTTCTTTCATTTCTCGATTTATGCCGCAAATTATGCGTGTCATCCTTGCTGAGGGACCATTTTGCTAATTACCCTTCTCTGTATCGTTCCAATTTTAATGGATGTCCTGAAGGACGCTATTTTTTTTAGCTGTGAAATACAAGCCCCTTTTGGGCCCATTTTGGGGCTCGTAACTTAGAGGTTAGGATAGGCATACTAAGGGGAGTGGTCGTATATCAGCCCCTTTTTTTTCTTCTTTTTTTTTAATTATATCAGGCCCTGCTGACACCTGAGAAAATGTCAATTAATGACATAGTTGTTTTTCATCTCACCACTGACATGACTTCTTTTTTTTTTTTTTTTCCTCCCCCCCCCCCTCTCTTTCCCTACTGTAAGTTGTGAAATGTTGCAGCAGCCCTGTTGGCCTCTCTCTTCATACTGGACTCGATCGAGGTTTGTTGCCGGCAAGAGAGAGAGAGAGAGAGAGAGAGAGAGAGAGAGAGAGAGAGAGAGAGAGAGAGAGAGAGAGAGAGAGAACGGCTTTTCATTAGGGGAAAGCTATAATCTTTTATTTTTCTCTTTTCCGTTTTTGTCGGGGAAAGCTATCTTTTTTCTTTCTTTTTTTCCGTTTTTTGGGGGAAGGCTATCTTTTCTTTATTTTCGTGTGTGTGAACGCGAGCGGGCAGCCGATGTGAGCTTGCGCGTTGGTGTCCGTGTGTGTAAGCGCGCTCCTCTGTGGGAAAGAAACAAATGTGGTGGAAAAGAACTACCATGGCTCCTTCCCCATCTCTCTCTCTCTCTCTCTCTCTCTCTCTCTCTCTCTCTCTCTCTCTCTCTCTCTCTCTCTCTCTCTCTCTCTCTCTCTCTCTCTC